ATTTAATCTTCCTCTGTTACACTGAAGGTTTCTAGATATATGAATATTCAATTAAAATTTGTATAAATTTTTTGTTGATATTCTCTTTGTTCCTTTTTTTCATTGTTTAAAAAACATGATATTAATGCATGACACGTAATAAGTTTTTTTTTTTTTTTGCATTGTAATAGGTTATCTTGATATCGTCTTGTTATTATTTTTTATTTAATACTTAGTATAATTAAGTATGTTACAATTCATTTTCATCTAATTTAATTTTATAATTTTGGTATGATAATGTAGCAAGTACTAAATGGATAAAAGTTGGATGCAAAAGTCAAGATTAAGTCAGTCGATTCTTGAGCACGCTAGTGACCAAGGTGAAAATTTTTTTTTTATCAAATGGTAGTGTTCTAAATCTATGCAGTCATTAATTCTATACATTTTAGATTTTTGGTTAATGTATTAAAATAATTTGAATGTTATTGCATGTATTAAACTTTATGTACCATCCACATTGGAACAAATTATGTATTTATAATATTTAGTTTATGAATTTAAGTTCATTTTTATTTCTTTTAATATTTTTTATTAAATGATAATAATCAATATTCAAAGAAAATTAAAAAAATAAATTTATTAATTTAGTGACGTTTATGTTTAAAAATGTTGCTAAATGCCAAAATGTAGCGGTGCTCTCTATTATAAACACTACTAAATTTAGTGGCATTTTCTACTATAAATGCTACTAAATTTAGTAGCGTTTTATGATAAAAATGCCACTATTTTTCCCAATGCAAGTATCGTCGACACTCTTAGTGGTGTTTTTGGCAAACGTCACTAATCTTTTAATGGTGTTTATAAACGCCACTAAACGTGAAAAAAAACACCACTAAAAACCTAATCCCCTATAGTGAATGCTCTCCATGCCATCACAAAATGAAATTAAACACATGTATGTACCAGTGCCTTTGGAACGTTAAATTTGCATGTTCGTTTCTAATTTATAAACATGGTTAATTAGACATTAATGAGCATCCTTCAAAATGCTAGTAACTGACAAATGCTTCAATATTTCTAATGACATTTCCTTTCTTTTAATCAATTATCTAATTAGTCCAAATTGTTGGCCAAATTTTAGTTAGTGATACTCACACAAAATTTACAAAATATAAGGATGCCATAGATATACATACTTAATGTATGTTACATTACCACCAGCCACAATTCTTCCTACCTTTTGTAAGCCAATTTCATCAATCATAATTATACAGTAGGAACATTTATATTCCAAATTCTTGAGTTTATTTGTCTTACTTGTTTTGCCCATCAAACATAGATTGAGTTGTATCTTAAACTTTTTCTTTGTGATTCACACAACTCAATTTTATAAACCACTGTATTATCCAACCATGGGTATAAAATTATTGTTTTGTGTTAATCTTTGAGATTTTTCCTTTTTGTTTTTAATTTCCATTTTTTTTCCCAATGATATAAAATCATAAATTACAGACTTGGTTTATGTAGCAATAAAATTTTCTTTCCTTGGCTTGCAAAGAAAGATGAACAATGAGAAGCTTAAGTTGATGAAAAATTCATTCCCATGCCACAACTAATGCCATATTCAAGCCACGCCTCTCATCTTGATTAAATTTTAGTGATAAGTCATAATTATGTCCTTTGCTTTTATCAATAGCCTTTAATCAAAATTTCTCATAAACTTGTGAAAATAAAACTTTAAGATTGTTAGAACTTGGGGTTTAGAAAAATCATGAAAATTTGAGAAAATTCTTCAAAGCGTGTAACAATGCTACTTTTTTTAATATTTTACTTGCCCCCACCACTTGATTAATTGCTATGTAAAAGAGTTACTGGCAATAAATCTAGAAGATACAATGAAGTCTAATGATTGATAAAATATAACAAGGCTATAAAAGATTCATAACCAAAGCTAGCAAGTACTCCATCTCTATTTTATGCTCATAACCATTCAATGCTATGATTAAGAAAATCCACATATAAAATACTATAAAATTATGAATCATAAGGTAAATAATTTAATTCAGAATCAAAGGATTAAAAGAATAGTCAATAAAGAAAGCAAAATTCAATGAGACTCAAGGTCTTTTATGAATTATCAATCATCAATTCTTTTAGTAGACTATAAAAACTAGAAAGATAATAACAAGAAACTTATTTTGTATTTTATTTCACCAAGAAACTATTTGGATAATTGAAACTTCCCATACTTGTTTCAAAAGTCAGTTTTGTCAACTTTACTAATTTCTTTTCCTTGTATCTTCTTTATGCAAAATATGAATTTCATAATTGTCTTTAAATTGTTAAAAAAAATAAATAAGAGAATAGAAATAATAGAAAATAATTGACTTTAAAGGGTGAAAAACGCTTTTTTAAAAACAATTATGACCTTATGTAACAACAAAGCCTCAAAACTCTTCAAGTAGAAGTATTGAAAATAGTTGTATTCAAAAATCTATTTATAATGAATAAATAGACATAAATTTCTATTCAAATGATTGACCTTTTATATAATCATGATCTTTATGAATAATAATCTATTTATATTCAAATATTTATAACCATTTGTCATATTATAATTGTTTCTATTCAAGCATAATTATTTAAATTATGAATAAAATTAATATAAAAATTAATTTTATCCATCAATAATTAAATCTTTCTATTCAAAGTAGGATGCACCATATTTTAATCTACCAATATTAAACACTCTACTCTTGCTTATATAGAGGAATTCAGGAAAGCCAATGATGTAATTCTGGTGAATAAGCCCGAACTAGCAAATAAATGGCGGCCACCACCCCATGGATTTGCTAAGGTAAACTTCGATGGAGCTTTGAATGTAACTGAGAACATTGGCTGCATTGGGATGGTAATAAGGGACGATGAGAGTAAGCACCTAAGGGCAATATCGACAATGGTGGAACAAGAGAGGGATCCTACAGTGAGTGAAACTCTTGCAGCAGTGAAGGGCGTGGAAGTTGCTAAAGCAATGGAACTCAATTCGATTAATCTTCAAGATGACGGTAGCTTTTGGGATTATCGACTATCTGAATTCAACGGCAAACAGTCTCTCAGTTGTTGGGAATCTATTGGAGTATGCTCGGCTGTTAAGTACAACGTTGCAAGCTTTTAAAGCTGTCATGTGAGACTATGTGTAAACAAAGCAACGAATTTTTTCTCAAAACATGCATTAACAATAAGATCATCCATGTACTAGCTTCATGAATGTCTTTCTAGTCTTACCAGTATTATTCACAATGACTGTAATGTGGCATAATATCAATGAAATTATTCTACTTAAAAAAAAAAAAACAATCTTCTTGATCAAATCATTTTCAATGTAGTTAGGGTTACACAAATTGTTCTTATAAAATGTTTTGGTTAACAAAAAGCAAAACAAAATTTTAAAAAAAAAAATCTCAACATTTTTGGACAACTTATTTCTCAATCTTTTTTTCAAAAAAATAAGTAAAGTATCTTTAACTAGTAAATCAACTTGTTGCCTAAAAAATTAGAAGTCTTTAACCAAACAAAAAATTAAGGATAAATTACAAATTTAGTCATTTAACTAGTTGATTTTTTATTTTTTATTTTGATCACCAAAATTTGATTGTTATAATTTGATCACTAATGTTTATGAAATTGTTTTTTTGTCATATAACTATTAAAGACTAAAGACATTCTTATGTGGCATTACCATATCATCTAACATGTGACGTAACATTATAATTGTGGAAAAAAATTTTGAAAATTAAAAAAAAAGATAAATTAAGCTTTTAATTGCTTAAATTTTTTTAAAATTTCTATTTTAGTCATTTAAATTTGTAAAATTTTATAATTTGATTATTAATGTTTATGAAATTATTAATATTTTGGTCTCTATTGTAGATGTCTCATTGTCGATATGATTTTATAATGATTTAATTACCGACATTTGTGAAATTTAATATACTACTATTATTTTATTATTTTTGTTATATATTTTTCTTGTAATATTTTATTGCATGGATTTAAGGCATGTGGACTTTGATTACAATTAGAACCTTAACTTTATGAAATATTTCATATTTTGTTTAAATTTTCTTGGATGATTGATGCATTTTTATAAAAAACATTTATTTAAATTTATTTAGATGAATTGGATGGTAAATAGTTAAAATATTGTTATTTGAATAATTTTGACAATTGGATTTATTCATCTATTTTTCAAATTAAAAAAATATAATTATAATAAAATAAAAATTTATAATCTAAATTCTATGCAATAAAAATATTAAATACTTGTTTCTATGTTATATAAAGTTTGATGGATTGTTAAGTATTATGTCAAGATATTTTAATATAGATTACAAAAATAATAAATTAATTATTATATTTGTAAATATTGATGACCAAATCATTATAAAATCACATTGACAATTGAGATATTAACAATAAATATCAAAATATTAATAAATTTTATAAACATTAATGATTAAATTATATAATTTTTAAAATTGGATGACAAAAATAAAAATTCTTCAAAAAATAAGTGATTAAAAGTTAATTTATCTTTTTATAAAATTTTAAAATTAATTTTTTAAAATTTATAATGTTCCGTCGACATGTTGTTATTTTAACATTTCATAATTGGATGATTAAAATAAAAAAATCTACAATTAAGTGATTAAAGGACTAATTTACACTTATATTTAAAATAAGCAGATTATTTGCTTTATCGCTGACACGGATAATTTTACTAATTTACGTGTCTATCCTTGTAGCGAGTATAGTTGTTTTATTTAAACTCGCGTGTGGTAATTGCTTGATCCCATAAAATCTAAAAAGTGATCTCGTCTTATCGTACATCCTCGTCAGCTTTCGATCCCATCTAAAACTGACAAGCCAATAAGCCTCTCTTTCCTACTTTCTCTCTCTCTTTTTTTCTCTTTTTGTTTCCCTTAATTATTTTACCGTACATCCTCGTCAGCTTTCTATCCCATCTAAAACTGACAAGCCAATAAGCCTCTCTTTCCTACTTTCTCTCTCTCCTTTTTTTCTTTTTTTTGTTTCCCTTAATTATTGTTACCTATAGCCTGTCTGCTGTCTCTAGCGTTCATCGAACTTGAATCATCTCTCTCTTTTCAATGACTTTCTGTCTGAAAAATTCGAGAAACATTATCAGCAAACTTAAACCAAAGGTTGGTTTGTTGAGTTTAATGAAGCAGAGCAGTGATTGTTGTTACAGCTCTTGTCTGAACCACAGCAATCATTGCAATTTCCTTCCAGTGACTGCTACTTCTCCATTTGTTAAACAACTCAAAAACCCAGATTCAAATTCCCATAAAAAAGGCCGCTTTTTCGTATTTGAACGTTTTGAATCGACCACAGCTGAAAAACAGATTGCTTCTGTCCCAAATGGTGAAGACAATCAGGTTTGTGATTGTTTAATGTTTTCCATGAACAAGGGATGTTTCAGAATCTGTTAAATTATGTTTTTCTCTTACATGTTTCAATGCATATTCACTTTACAATACTTGTGTAGTACTGAATCAAACCGTTTAGGCCTCATTATTTAGTTTTAACTTCTCACTAGATTCTTGGTGAACATATGAGCTTGCTAGATATGAGTTTGTCGGTTATGCATCTTCTAGATGCATGGTTAAGAAATTTCCTTTATGTGTTCTATACAATTATGAAGTTAAAAAAAAAAAAATTCACGCCTGGCTTTACATCACTGTCACCTGAGAAAGTTGTCAACATCATAATTTTTTACTAATGTGTTTTGCTTGGGTTTTTTTGTCAACATAAAATGCTATTATACTCATTGGTTGGAGATTACAAAATTCAGTTGTGCTGTTTAAGTTTCATGGAATGTAGTTGGAATGACTGAAAAGTTATAGCACTTGCTCTGTAGTTGGAATGACTGAAGGGCAAAAGATACCAATTGTGGACACTATTTTCCAGATAATAGAGTAGGACTCTGTTTCTGTACTTCTCATTCAACTTCTTGATAACTTCGAATATTTTTAAAGACCAAAAATCTTGGTTTCAGGGGTACTCGAATAGGATAGAGGCATTCTTCTTCTGATGATGATGATGATGATGATTTCTTATCAGTTTAATTCAAATGACAAGTACATTTCAACAAGGCATCAGTTTTATAATTTCTTGCAAACGCTTGGGCATTGTTTTATTTTCATGTAGACACCTATATTTATGCTCACCAAAGCTCTCTTTTTATGGAAGGTCTTGAATTTTCCTGGAGGAAAGGTTATATTTTCCCCTGAGATGAGATTTCTATCTGAATCTCCCAGTTTGCATGCCCACTGCTACCGAGTGCTTGATGATAATGGTCAGCTAATTAGGCACAGCAACTTTATACAGGTAGATTCACCTGTCCTCATTGTACTTCCTAAAATTGTCATTTCCTGTTTAAGAATCTTATCGATTACATATTAAATTAGGTCAGTGAGGATATTGCTGTTAAAATGTATAGCAACATGGTTACTCTTCAAACTTTGGATACCATATTCTATGAAGCTCAAAGGCAAGGAAGAATTTCCTTCTATGTGACCACAATTGGAGAAGAAGCCATCAACATCGCATCGGCAGCAGCACTCACTCTAGACGACTTTGTTTTTCCTCAGGTTAGAAGAACATACATGGACATATATACATCCCTCATCCCTTACAATTCCAGCTTCACATTTTGCATCTGTGGATAGAGTGTAACTAACCATTTACAAATCTATTTCAATCCCACATCTGTTTTTTGTAATCCTATTCTCAAAGAATGCACTTTCTCATGTATTACTAACAGATAAGGACTGCTTATTGTATTTAATTGTAACTGTTGAGAAGTTAAATGAATGTACACATCGGGGTTAAAAATTAAATGATGCAATCATAAAGTTAATGACGTGGTTTGCAGTACAGGGAGCCTGGAGTTTTATTATGGCGTGGTTTCACTCTGCAAGAATTTGCAAACCAGTGTTTTGGAAACAAAGCTGATTATGGGAAAGGCAGACAAATGCCTATTCATTATGGATCTAACAAGCATAAATACTTTACTGTATCATCAACAATTGCGTAAGAGATTTAACTTGTGTTTGTGGGAGTTTGTCGTATAGAACTTTATTAAAATCTTTAGATCTAAATCAGGAAATCAGGGGTATAAACATTTCACTTTGTTTTTCAGTACACAAATTCCCCACGCTGTTGGTGCTGCATATTCTTTGAAGATGGACAAAAAAGATGCATGTGCTGTCACTTACTTTGGTGATGGTGGCACAAGTGAGGTAAATACAAATACTGAAATCTAGCTTTGATGGATAAAAATATTTGGTTTCATGGCATTTGGAAGGATTCTGTAATCTATAAAATTGCCTATATATGCTTATTGTAACAAAACAAAATAGTTCATTGCCTAGCTGCCCAGTCTCATTTAATTTTAGCTTTTGGTGCTTTGATTCTAACAAAACGAAATAATGGTAGGGAGATTTTCATGCTGCTTTGAATTTTGCGGCAGTTACAGAGGCTCCAGTCATTTTTATCTGTCGGAATAATGGATGGGCAATTAGTACACCTACTTCAGACCAGTTTCGAAGTAATCTTCCCTCTTGAATCAGTCAATTTATATATATGTATATGTATACATTTATATGTATATATGTATCCTATCACGTATTTTGTTTTGCACATGGTGCAGGTGATGGAATTGCTGTTAGAGGGCAGGCTTATGGAGTCCGAAGCATTCGTGTAGATGGTAATGATGTACTTGCCATTTATAGTGCAGTTCATGCTGCACGCAAAATGGCAGTAAATGAACACAGGCCAATTTTAATTGAAGTAAGACTTCTTTTATTAAGTCTTTTTCATCATTAGCTTTACAGTGACCATGAGAGGCATATGCATAATGCTGAAACATAAATGGGTTATACTCATTCCTTGATGTTTTGTTCTGTCATTTCACTTTAGGCTGTTACATATCGAGTTGGACACCACTCTACATCAGATGATTCCACCAAGTACCGACCTGCTGATGAGATCGAATGGTGGAGAATGGCTAGAGACCCTGTAACAAGATTTAGAAAGTGGATTGAAAGTAATGGTTGGTGGAGTAGTGAGGCTGAGTCACAGCTCAGAAGCAGCATTCGGAATCAGGTAAAAGACTTAGACTAGCAGTATTTGAATCTCTAGAATCAATCTTATTAGTAACCAAATATAAACAGTTGGAGTTTAGATTGTGTTTTTTTTTTTTCCCCTATTCTTCCCTTCAATTAACAACTTTCATCAATTTTAAGGCTTGTGAGTTTACTGATAGATAGACTTGGAACATAACTGCTCAGAATAGTCAACTTTTTTTAAGAAATGAAGGAGGATTTCAATTTGCATCAGTAGAATTATCACTAGCAGGTAGCAATATTTTTTATAAGCTGTAGCTGAGACAACTGTTGTAGTCACATCTCAAGTTTAAAATGCTTTCCCCCAATATAACAATCAAAGAAGGGGAAAAACTTCTTGTTGATATCTATGATGAAACCAGTTAAGCCTCCAAGATCTAAAATCAGTGAAAATCTTGTCATTCAAAATAATTGAAAAAAAAAAATCATTAACAATTTCTGGTATACCTGAGAAAAAATTGTTCTAAAATCAGGGAAAAGTGGAAACAGTCAGAACCATGTTTTGTTAGATATGAAAATTCTGTTTTTCAAGGTGCAATGTATGTGATATACTCAGATGAGTGATCAGAATAACTGCGAATGTTGTTTGAAGTGATGGCTTGATTGTTCCTTTGTTCGGTGGTTTTTCACTCCTCATAGTACCCCCTAAGCTCATAGTTAAATGATTGTATACTGGAACCTAAATTCTGAAGTTTATTACTAACAGTCTTTAACACGCTTGGTGACAGCTATTGCAAGCAATTCAGTTAGCAGAGAAAGTTGAGAAACCTCCAGTTAAGGACTTATTCACAGATGTATACGATGATCTTCCACCCAACCTCCGCGAGCAGGAAAAATTGCTGAGAGAAACCATCAACAGACACCCGAAAGATTACCCCGCTGATGTCCCGCTTTAGGTGAACCATATCTACTTGCAATCAAATTTTTTTTCTTCTCTGAAGTTTGAACTTGTGATAGTAATATGAAGCCGCCATAGTAATCATAAATTATTAGAATAACATCTCCACCATAGTTATGGAAAGGCAGTGGAATATGGTTCAGTGATGTTAATTTCATTTCGGTTTTGATTGTACTGGCTAATTCGCTTCAGTTATGTAAAAATATAGTACACTGAAAGGTGGTTTTTTATACCGGATTTGGTATCACGTAATATTGATTGGTTTCAGCTTGTTTTATCTTTACATAAATATGAAATATATTTTATAATTTGCTTTTTGTTGTTTAACTATTTTTAATTTAATAAAAATAAAATGAGTTTATATTTGATGCATCATCTGCGTATGAATTTTATATACTGTTAGTGAATCAAATGATGCGATCTCATTGATAAAGTGAATCAAATTATGTAACTTTATTAATGAGGTTCTTTTAAAAAGTATTAAATTTTGGTATATTTTATTTTAAGAGTTGATATTACTCATTAATGAGATAATATCATCTAATTCATTGATAATATATAAAATTTATACATCGATTATGCATTAAATATAAACTCAAGTAAAATTAATGGATGAAATAATCCTTGAAAGTTTGGTTTCTTTATTTTTTACTGCTAATTGTTTATTTCATTTTATTTTTTCTAATCAAAATTTATAAGTATTTTAATTTTTTTAAAAAAAGTAATTATACTTTTTTTAAAGTTTAACAATCTTGAAGCTAAAGATTATTTTTTTTTTTGGTTTTATCTTAATATATTTTTACATGAAAAATATTTATTTAAATATCATATAATCAAATTACTATATAAAAATATCATGATAAACTATTAATATTATTTTTTATACTTTTAAACTTATTTATTTAGTTTTTAAAGATGTATATTTATTTTGTAGATTATTAATAATACTATTATGTAAAAATCCATATATATTTATAAATATATTTATATTATATTAAAATTTAAAATATTTTATCAAAATAATTAATATCAACATATATCATTTAAAAGAAAAAATTAAAATGTTTTGTACGATATTAACAACTTTGATATAGTTGCAAGTAAGCATTCTTTGATAAAAATGCCTTAGAGGGTATATGGTTTTACATATCTATACTATACAGTGTATGATTGAGGCCGGTGTCACGAATGAAACTAATTCAATTGATAGATTTACAATTAATCAAATAAATTTATAAAATAATTTATTAAATGAAGGGTAAATGTGTAAATTCTTCTTTTTTTTTTTTCAAATAACCGTTGAGTAAAAAAAATTACTCTTATCACTTTACTACTAATTTTCTTAACTATCTTTGTTTTTTTCTTTTTTCTTTTTTCTTTTTTTAGAGAACCACCTAATTTCATATATTAAAAAATTTCGCTTTTTGCTTCAATTTTTTTATCACCCAGGTCGTGAGTGCCAAATCATGGAGAATGCATTGTTTTACTACTTCAGTTTTACTATGCATTGTGTAAATGTTACTTTGTTTTAAAACTATATCCTTCCTTGGCTTCAAAAGAAATCACAATATTCAATAAATGTTTAATCCTATTTTATGACTTCTTGGGTATTATTCTCTCTTGCTATGATCATTTTCGATTAAATAAATATCATACATCTTACAGGTTCACAACCCATGCCTAATACTGAGTCACCTATAACGTTGCAAGACATCATAATCACGGAAAATTTACCCTTAAATTTATGAATTATTATCCTATAATTAAAATTTAAGAAAATTAATTCAACATATATAGTTTTTTAAAATTTTTAATTTACCCTTTATCCTTCTATTTTTCTTAATAGAACATAACGTTAGACATAAATTTTCGAATCCATTACTTCTAAAAACCGAATCAGATATCTTGTTATTTAATGCTCCGATCGGCTAATTTAGTTAAAAAGAAACATGGCAGCATCTACATCTACTGGCGGTATAGAGATTTTACAGTCAGAAAAGGCCTTGGATGAGTTCTTCCATTTCTTCTATTTTGCTTACACCTGGCTTGCATCTGGTAAATAAATATTATCTCAATTGGAATGGAAGTATAGTTTTGGGCTGGAATGACTATTATTTGAGAGTGCTTGCAAAACAGAACAATCTGTTTGGTCTGATGACCTAATCCAATCCGCCAAATATAATAAGCGTTAACCCAATCAGCCTAATGACATATTTTATAATTTTTAAAAATTTTTAATTTACCTTTAAATCTTTTATTTTTATACTTATTTATTTTAAGAAAATATTATATGTATAATTTCATTTGAATCTGCAACCTTCAGATATTAACTCTAACAACATATTAATTGCTCCAAAGATCACTTTGAAAATATTTTATAGAGTATAAAGAATTTATAAATATCATGATCTTTAACTCAAACCTTAAATGACAGAAAACCAATAATTTTTGCTTTTACATAAGATAAATTTTCCCATATTTTCTATTAAAAATTAAATAAATAGTCAGCATGTACGATTTCTGTGTTTTTTCTCAGCCACATTATGACAAGATTGGGGGAAAGCTCATTGACTGTTTAATGTCTATACAGCCAAACGGACAATACAAACAAGGCCATCACTTGAAATGCAAATGCAAGACTTCATGGTTGCTCACCCTCATTATAGCTTTGGTGGGTCACAACAAAGGGAACCCCAAATTTTGTATGCATGGCTTCGAGTCCTGGCTTAATACTTTGAGAGAAACAATCATCATGTTACAAAAAGTTTATAGGTATGTGCACTTCCTTAATATTGTCGTTCTCTTCTGCCTTTCTATCAATCTTTTTGAGTTTTTTACCATTTCTCTACTTTGAAATCATGCACTGCTTTTACCCTTACGTAGTCAGAAAAACAAATCGCCTAGAAATCTTTTAGGGGTAGCTTTATCTTTCACATCTTCTAGTTGCTTTTCACTTGGATCCTTCTATATCTGAAAATTGAAGTGAGCAATCAATTTGGTGATGTGTTTCATTCATAAGACCTCGCATTTGTTCTTGTCTCACCAAATTAAGTACAATTAGGTGAACTTTAGAACTGAAGTATAGGTGGCTCCACCTTTAAAGATTATTAGGGGCAACATGAAATTATAAAAGTAAAGAAAAGATATTGATAGTGCTTAATTACTCAAAAGGAATTCTGCAACATGAAATATATGTAAAATTTCCTTGATTGATCCGATTCTTTTACATGCTAATTGTACATGTAACTACATGCATTTGGGAGAAAATAGAAACCACTGAAGGAAAGCATAATGAACGACAAAGATTATGAAAAGCTTAAATGAGGAAAGGATGAAACCCTTCCTGTAAAAAGAATCACAAGGATAAAGCTTTCTCCTCCAGGGATTCTCTAACTGCCTTAAACAGTGATGGCATCAACTTCTGATTGGTAACAATGATGCCTGTGTCCAGATCAAGATACCTTCCCCTGGAAAAATCCAATGGGTTCCCTGCAGCATCTGTGACCACACCCCCAGCTTCTGCAAAAGATTAATTGCAAAGAGACATGCCAAATAGCAGTAAGTGGATGAGTAGATAGGTGGGTATGGGAAGGGGGAAGGGCCCAACAAAATAAGTGCAGAATAAAACAATGCCAGCCAAATAAGTAATAATTACATTCCCACCCTACACCTTAACTTGAGAGAAAGTAGCAGACGGAGTGAAATTGGTCCATACCACTCACAACAATAGATCCAGCAGCATGATCCCATATTTTCTCCCGATACCCTTTCCGTGGAAGACGTATATATATTGCTCCATCTCCTCTGGACAGAGCCCCATACTTTACCTGGCTATCCATTCTAACTGGTGGTGCTTTGACTCCAAGTTTCTATTTACATCTCAATGTTTTCAATACATTATCCATAAATAAAACTGAAAATGTGAGTGTCGATATATATATATATATATATATGTATGTATTTATGCAAGTATGTATGCACACACAGAGAGAGAGAGAGAGAGAGAGAGAGAGAGAGTACTTGGGCAATTAAACTAGATAAATCATGCATGGAGTGTGCTGCTTCATATGACTCAAAGAACGATGCTTCTTCAGGATTTTCAACAGCACTTACTTGCACCTGAATCCCATAAAAATGTATGAGCTGCAAATACATACTCAGATTAATAGCAATAGACTATAAGAAATCATTATAACCTTCACCGTTGAAGAACCATCAAGTGGCTGCATATAAGTTCCTCCACCAACTTCAGCAAAGAAAAGACAGCCAACTTCATTATTTGGAGAATGCCGATCAGCACCACTGATGCAAGTTAGTGGAAGGTTTGGACAAGCCAGCACACCTAAAACAACTTTTCCTCTGTCTAGCAAAGCCAAGGCTACTGCATATTGATCTCCTCTCAGAAACCTACAATGTAAAATATCAAAAAGCATAGACTAATTCATCAAAGTTGGTCTAAAAGCACATACAATTAGAATAAAATATCATTTTTGTAACTGGAAAATGGTAGAGATCATTATTTAGAAAATCTGAGATGAAAATTAGCCAAAAAAATAAAAAAAGATCCACTATTCTTTCACAGCAAATTGTAAAGAAATCCAAACACAACATATATAACAAAGTTAAAAGGAAGATAAATAAGCTGAGAAAGTTAGTAGAGGACCAGTCATTTAATTCTAAAGCACTAAATTCATAGGTCTGGCCATGCAAAAGCAAGAGAGATTATGGTTTTTCTTGCATCTAGTATTGTTAAGGTATCCCCTTTTTCTCTCTTTCCTATCAATCCTTCTACACTAAATAACACAAGATAAAGAACAAATCTAAACATCCCCAGCCTTTAGTCATTGCTGAGTTAAGGAGTGTAGACTAACTCATGTTGGATAAGGCATATCATAAACCGTAATGTAGTTGGTGAACATGAATCATTATTATATCAGACACCAACTTCTTTATGACTAAAGCAAAATTACTCATGTCAAATATTAAGCTCCAGAGCTCACCCTTTAGTGCCATCTATAGGATCCAAAACCCAGTGTCGACCTTCAGAACCACCTTCAGATTTGCCACTATCAATGGCCTTGAGAACATCTTCTGTCGATAAAGTAACACTGTATGATCCATCACTAGTTAGAGAATCGTTCACAAGTTTTGTAATGCGCTCTACTATTTCCTGGGCACCATCCTTGCGAAGATCTTTAGAATCCTAAAGAGAGCCCAAAACATTATTTAGAAGGAAACAAAGGAAGAATTTTACAATTTAAAGGAAAAGAGAGCAAGTATTATGCATGTTCCTGAAACTATTCTCCACAAAAGCAGAGATTTACCTCTTCGGCAATTAATGAGAATCCAGCAGGAAATTCCTGCTGCAGCAAAAAACTAACCAGTGCTTGTGAGCCTGATGAAAATTTTAAAATGTAAAAATGTCAAGGAAATGTGTTAGCAACCAGTTAAGGTTTCTTTTCTGCCAACCCTAAAAGCTAAAAGATGCTGAGATCAAGAATAGCATAAATACTTAAACCAGAAACTTTTAGGGATAAATAATGTAAAAAACAAAAAGCAAATTTCATAAAATTGAAGCGTGACTACCAGTTTTGCATATGATAAGTGCATCATCTAACAAGTAGATATATTGGAAGATGTAAATAATAAATACGAGTTATGATTACATTTCCCCCTGAACATTGATATGTATGGATAAAGCAGATGACCTTATACAGAGGTAAAATAAAAGGCAATTATGAAGCAGGCAAATGTATTACAGGGCAATGTAATCACACTTGAGATATGCTCATCAAACAAAGCACTACATATAGCACAACTATAATATTCTTTCACTTCAGATGGACTAAGGCATTTTGATTTCAACAGAACAAAAACGATTCATCCGATAGAAAATTTTGCTTAATGCAGCTAGGAAAACATCATACAACTCTGTAAATTCCCTAGTAAAAGAAATTAAGAAAAGACTAAAATTTAAAAAAAAAAAAAAAAGCTCTTGAATTTTATCACTTTATTTAGATAAGCCCCTATACTTTTATTGCACCTAAATAAGTCCTTAACTTTTATTTGCACCTAAATAAGCCCTTAAACTTTAATTTTTATCAAAATAAGCACTTAACCTTTAATTTGTAACTAAATAAACATTTAACATAAATCAATCTATCGCTTGAAATAAGAGCTTATTTGAGTACAAATAAGATGATAAAGGCTTATTTGGATATAAATTAAATAATAAGGGTTTATTAGGGTACTATAAGAGTACAAGGGCTTATATAAGAAAAGTGGAATACTTCAAGAGCTTTTTTAGTATTTTAGACTTAAGAAAAGCATGTATCAACTACAAAAACTGAAGCTTAGTTCAGTTGGTTCATGTAGCTACATGTAACATCCAAAAGGTTTGAGGTTAGAATCACAGCACCTACAACCCCTTCCCCTATTCCCAGGATGCCCCAAGCTGCAGCCTCCTTTGTAACCAAAAAAAAAACTAAATTCCAATTATCATGCTAATAAATAGAAAGAAGCATGTAAATCACCCCGATAAAAATGGAAACCCATTTCAAATCGACAATACATATTTTCTTAAAAGAAAAACTTGTAATAGCAGGTGAATAACCTAAGAGGAAGGCGCAAGAAAGTTTCAGAAACAAACCATAATCAGCTACTGTTACAGGACTTCTATTATTTTTGGATTGAACATCTGATTGCAGCAAAACTTTTTGCACTTTCTGAAGATAAAAACAAAGACCCAAAAACCCAAATTAAGCTTCTATATATACACAGCTTTACATGATCAAATATTTCAGAAGCATCAGCCACATATATTTCTTTTGACATAGAGTCTGGTAATTCTCAAAAGAATCCTAAACTTTCAACTGAAAAAAGTGAGATACAATTCAGTGACTTCAATTCCCCTAATATTAGAGAGGTTGATAATTCTAAAGAATCGGCACAGAGATTTATGTTTTGAAGTAAAGAAAAATTACACAAACATACTGTGCAAGGAGAAGTAATTAAACAAAATGAAAACAAACAAACAAAAACACATATTTCAATTAAAAAATCTGAAGATTTGAGAAAATTACTATAAACCCAAAACAGCAAATGCAGAGAAAAATAGGTTTTTATGAAAAAGAGAAACCTGACAGAGACGAGCAGCGAGAGAGGCAGCTTTCTTGGCAGCGGCCAGCTCTTTATCATAAGACATTGCCACAACCAGTGTAGAAGAAGAAGGCAAGTAAATGAGATGACAAAGAAGAGGCAACTAATTCAAAGACATGTATTTAATTTCAATTCAATAATTTAGAAGTACGAGTTTTTTTCTGTTTCTTTCAAAACTCGAGAGCACAATAAGTCAATCACTCGGTCGATTGAATGTTAAATCTTTTCCTTAGAATTTCATGTGCCTTTTAAATAATGATTAATGGAGTACAGCATAAAGATATTTTAGTGAATGTGAACCACCTGAAATTGCTTGGCCGTTGACGTGCTTCCTACCTAACCCTTCGTTTAATTAAGTTTAATCATTTTCTAATCATATATTAGTATTATTTTTCTCTTGTCATTTTCAACTTTAACCCACCAAGTATTGCAAAAAATTGATAAATGTTTGTTGTCAGTTCTATAAATCTCGTCATATTTCAAATGGTCCAGATAAAAGTAGCAATTTTTTGTTTTTCAGTTGATGGGAGTGAAATAAGATAAGAGAAAGAAAATAACAAGATTTGTCACATTTTATTTTTCATTAAATCTAATCCATTTAAATTTGAAAGTAAAATATTCATTTAATTTAAATTAATAATTTTATTTATAAATATTTTACCTTTAATTTTTTTTTATTTTACATCCGCCAGGAGAGAAAAATTTTTTTTCCTCTCTTTCCTTTTTTTTTTTTTTAATTCTTTTCCATTTTGTTTATTTTTATCAATTATGTTTGGTAAAAAGAAAAGAAAATGAAAAGAAGGGAAAAAGATGACGAAAGAAAAAACGAAAGTATGAGAAGAAAAGTTACTTTCTTCTATAAATTGTAATTTTATTATCTAAGAAACAACAAATCACTGCTACCCTATAACAGCTTGCATGTTTTGACATCACCTCATTGATTTTACATCCTCCTGGCAAGGAGAAAATTTTTTCTTCTCTTTCCCTTTTTTTATTCTCTCATTTCGTTTATTTTTACCAATTATGTTTGGTAAAAAGCAAAGAAAATTGAAAAGAAGTGAAAAATATGATGAAAGAAAAAAAATGAAAAAAAGAAAAGTTATTTTCGTTTTTTGGATAAATTGTAATTTTATTATGTAAAAAGCAGCAAGTCATTGCTACCATATAATAGTTTCTACACTTTAGTATCGCCTCATTGATTTACAATAAAAAAGCTCCTTTCTTAGATCCCATCTCTCACATAATTCTTTATTAACATAATCAAAATTAACATGCATTAATCTTAACACTCGAAGCTTATTGTCTTTTTGATCTACCTCAAACCCTAATCGCCATTGCTTTCCTCTAACCTGAATTGTTTCTTATTCCGTTATTTAATATATGTAAGCTTCCTTTGCTAGTCTTAATATGATAGAGAGTAATGTCTTCCCTGGAAACCTGGTAATTGCCCATTGAAGTTTAGTCCTCTAATCTGCAACCTTTTTTTTGTAACTAACAACGTTGCAAAACCTGCTTCCATTCTACCTTAGATAGCTACACATGAAGAAAATATGATCCCTACTTTCATCTTTATTTGCATGATACACAATACGCATCTGTTGTAATCCCTTATGTACTCAACTTATCCTTAATAAGAAGCCTATTAAGAATGGCCATCCATGCAATAACTGCATGCTTAGGAATGTGTAACTTGCACCAAATGAGCCTATGCCAGACCATCTCCTATTTAGGCCTTAGTTCCTCCCATACAGTTGCAGTTCGTAGCCTGAGCTTATTGGTATTAAACCCTGAAAGCAATATTTCTCATCTATAGCACTTTTCTCATACTCCAACTACTACTTTCAGTGATTAGCATATGCCATATATTTCTTCCTTTTTGCACATAGCTATGTATACATGCAATCCATACTGATCTTGTTTGAGCATATAGAGACCATAAATTCCTGATTATACAAGCATGGCTCAATGTTAAAATATCCTTCAATCCCAGCCTTCCTTCTGACTTGGGACTACAAATGATTTGCCATATGATTTTAGCATAGCCCCCTTTGTTGTGCTCGATTGACCCTTCTAAAAGTAGCTGGAACAGAGTTGTATTACTTTCTTTATAACCTTCTGAGGTATAATAAAGTGCTTACACTAGTAGCTATGAATGTTGTATAAAACAAATTATATCAATGGCAGTCTGCCTGCATAAGATAGGTTCTTAGCTACCCAGCTGTTAATTCTGGCTATGATTTTCTCAATTAATAGGATGCAATCCTTATATGTCAACCTTCTTTTAACCAATGGAACACTAGGGAATTTAAAAGGAAATGTGCCAAGCTTGAATCCTATTTCTTGCAATATTGCTTATAACTCCCCACTTTGGAAACCTGTACAATATAGCTTACTTTTTTCACAATTGAGTTGAAGACCAAAGAATGAGTAGAATAGCCTCAATATATCTTGAATCCCAATGATAGAATCTAGGCTTCCTTTTGTGAAAATAAGTAGATCATCAACAAAACACAAGTGTGTCAATTTTACCTTTTGCATTTAGGATGATAAGAGAAAATACCATATAATGCAGCAGTATCCAAAAAGCCTTGATAGCACATTCATGGCAATTACAAATAGGTATGGTGACATAAGGTTTCCTTACCTCACCCTTTTTACTCCTTTAAAGTACTCCACCAAGCCTTTATTTATGGATAATGAAAACATTTGAATCCAGCCTACAAATCTTCTTAAATTGCCAATGGCTAATAATACAGTGATTATGAATTCCCAATTTATAAAATCAAATGCTTTTTCCAAGTAAATTTTTATTGCACAACTTGAAGATAGAGTTGATCTATTAATACCCTTAAACCAACTCTTATGCCATAAGCATATTATTAGTAATGTTTCTCCCTTTGATAAATGCACTTTGACTGTTACTGATAACAATCGGCAAATAATGTTGCAACTTTTTTGCTAATATTATAGTCACGCATTTGTAAATGATTGAACAACATGATATTAAATGTGTCATAACATCTAAATCCGGAGATCTATCGTTAGACATTGACTTGAAAGAGTCGTCACCAATCTTTTTTATCTAAGTGCGATTGACCACTTAAGGAATCTATCCTTCTGAGAAATACCTAAGTTTAAGGGTCCCTAAAAGAATAAGTTTGGATCTACTAACCAGAATAAGGTTCGGGAGTTCGGTTACGTGTGAGAAAGGTTATAGCACCCTCACAATGCCCATCAAAAGATGGTACCAGCTTAATTTTGTGTTATCCAATAAGTCTTAAAAATTTACCAAGTAATTAATTATTAGAAATTATTTTCAATTGACTCTAATACTTTTAGCAAAAAATTGAAAAAATCCTCTCAACTCAAGAGTATGCAAGAAAACTACTGTTTCATTTACAGAGGCTCCATCATCGAATTATTTAACATTAAAGAAAATTCAAGAAAATAAAAAGAAAAAAAAGTGATTGCTTTGTGTAGGAAAAATTGATACTTTCAATTTTTTTTCAAAAATATTTTTTTTTAAAACTTTAATTTTGAAAAAAATTGATACTTTCAACTTTTTCTCAAAAATCTTTTTTTAAAAACTTATTTTTAAGAAAAATTGATACTTTCAACTTTTTTTCGAAAATATTCAAGGAAGTTAGATCTCGGACCCCAACAACATTCTTCGCAAGAGAGCAAATGAGCCAATTGTATCCATATGAAGCCTTGTCCTTGCCCACGTGTCCACCACAGCACGCATCACCGTCCTTTGCAATGGCTCAAACGCTCACGACTTTGACTATAATAGCTTCCACGTCCGATTCCTTTAAATTTTTAGTATGTTGCTGGAAGTTGCATGAAAATCATCCACTTGGCTCTTTCCCACACCGTTCGACCTTTTCTTAAGGCTGGGTCATTTGGTTCTGACTCTTCCTTATTCTTCGAGTTCAAAGAATTAAAATACCTGTGAGGAACAACTACTTCAATTGGCAAATCACCAGAACCCCTTGTTTCCAGTTTCTGGAAGAATTTCAGATTCAACTCTTTGTTTGTTAATGCAGGAGCTTTCTTCTTTAAAGTTACAACTGCTTTGTCAGGAATGCTTCCACCTTTCCCTTTGATTCACTTCTTCCATGACTAGAAGAAGTATCCTGGGAAACAATAGGGGTCACAGTATTACATGCAGCCAAGATGAGGAAAAACTCATGTGCAGCAATTCTTTCATCTCCAGCCAAGTCTTTATGCAGCAAATCCATAATTTTAGAATCAACAGAAATTTCAAACTTAAGCTTCCATCTGCTTATAAGAACAGCAGCAGCTCTGATGTTATTGTCTTGTTATGAGTCATCTGTAAAATTAGAGCCTTCATAATCTTTCCCACAGACACTTTCTTTTCGAATTCTATTTTGTTTTTAGTAAATGTCCCTGTTTTGTCTAAAAAGACATATTGTACTTGACCCAAGTCCTTATTTATATTCAATGAGCGGCACGAAACCTTGAGCTAGAGGAGCTGCAATACATGTGCTTATCTTTAATCATGAAATAAGACTGTCCCAAGCAAACCACCTCCATTGTAATATAAAGAGAGATTGGTATCATTATCTGAAAGACAATAATAGAACTTAAAAAGGAGAAAAAGGTTTCCATAGGGATCATATAATATCTGTATGTTTTACCATTCTCCTTTCCTTTTGTTATGTATCTTTTTCTGTAATAAGGCAAGGTATCAAGCTCTTCCTCGTGACGATTAAGCCAAAGGCCCATCCCAAGGGCAACAATAGAACACACAACAAGAAGGAAAATGGACAACCAGAGTGTTTCTCTGTTCATGTAACTTTCCAATTGGCTTCGCTTTGAAGGAGAAACTGCACTGTTTAGCATTACTTTTGTTTCCTGCCCAGCATAAACCACCACGCCTATTATCCAATTCGTGTTCTTCAACTGACAACCACGTAAAACAATGTTTGATTGGTTGAGGAGGAATTTTTGTCCATTAAACTCCATATTGGCTGTGAACTCATAAATATTCCTATTAGGCTACTCACATCCGATCAGCCCCGATATATTACAACCTTCAAATACCAAAGAAGTTGTGTTCTGCCTAGCATATCTTGTCTTCAGGTTCGATTCACCATCCAAATTCATGGTCTGGATGTAGGCAAGTCCACTAGGGTCACTTATCCCTAACAAAACCATGTCGTAAGGAATTGTCTCATCAGCGTGGATCTTGATGACCTCTCCTGCTCTT